TTACATTAGCTATTCGACCGATACTTTTGATTTCTTAGTACCTGTTAGGGTAACGAATTGTATTTAAATCCGGGGCGTTAGTGCCCTTCAACCATTTTCGTGTTAACCAAGGGATGATAGTGGTATTCGCTTGCTATCCCTGTCGAGAGTCGCAGTTGTTTCTGTGTTGTAGAAGCTATGGACTCCCAGATGTCTACATAAGAGAAATTTGAAACCGAATAAATAAAATAAAAATTCTCAAAGTATTGGTCGAATAATACCGCTTTAAGACACCCGTTATTTGGTCTATTGTGCCTAGTAAAATAATATTGCGGGGAGAATATTAGGTGTCGTTCTTACAAAGGCATCAGTCATTTTTTTTCTCATGAGTGGAGGGTGATACTGTTCACCACCGTTGGCCGATTTCCGATATTTTTTATTACTGAGAGTAGCTTATTAATTTTTTTTTTATTTTTAAAACGTATAGTTTGAATCATATTTAGTTTTACTATTGTAGATTTTTTCTTATGGCTAAAACCGGCCGTTTTCATTAATAGCAAGGAATTTGTGCTAAGGGTGTTAGTGCCCACCGTTTTAATTTTTTTTAAAGGGAAAATTGTTATTTTTATTTTCTTATGGGTATAGTATAGGTCATAGTTAATTTTACCGTTTTATCATTGTCTGTAAATACCGAGACCTTTTATTTTATCAACATACATGATTCTGCATTTATTTTATTACCGTTATTAAACAGATATATAGATATACCGATTTCACCCCATTTATTTTATTTTTAATTATTACTTATTTTGTAAATATATTTTTGATTGAAATTCCTGAGTTTAATTTTGAATTACGCCTTTGCTTTTTCCGTTTTCAGGGCGTAGTGATTAATAGGTAAAAGTGCAGTGAAAAACTTTATTTACTTTACTACCCCAGTGTAGGTCAACTTAACAGCGAAGGTCTATCCGTTTTATTTTTTTTTTGTTTGTACCTGGACTCCACTGAGTCTACTGAGGGTGTACTCTACGTGCACCCCAGGGCCGCAGAGCAAACTGCGATATCAAAACTGGCGCCTGAGCAACCCCTATTCGGGAATTACATTCATAGCGCCACAGACTCGCTGAAGCACTGTAGGTGAATCAGGAGACTTGTCACAGTACCTACTTCTTCAAACCTCTTGAGAACTGACAACTACCGCCTTTTCATTTTTAAATGAAATAAGTGATCATGTCATACCTCATTTTAAAGACGATATTACTCGTATCAGTAATAGAAGTTTTTTAAAATTTTTATATTTTTCTTTATGAAGAAGCATAACTGTAAATCCAGCAAATCTCCCCAAAAATAGCTGAACATGTTTTATAAGAATCTGAAAAATTATTTCATTTTATTTTTTTTTTTTATATAATAAAATACACCATGTAAGACTGCTTGTTAAAAATTAGAAAAATACAAACAAAAATCCTTATGTGACTGAATAAAGAATTAAAAACTTTTTAAAATGAGGTATCAAAGCACTCATTTTATTTAAAAATTTGAATTGGTTGCTGTCGCTCCAGGAAATTAATAATTTACATACTCTATTATATTTACAATGTTCTGTTTATTGGCTGTTTTTAACAGCAACGATTTTTTCAACAGTGTCGATTTTTTGGATCGACTACCTGTTTTGGAAGGAAACCGTCTGGTTTTCATGCCAAAAATTTCGTAAACAAATCAGATACCTAGCACAAATTTTTAAAAGTAAAAACTGAAGAAAATACAAGCAATTAGTAACCTTTTAAGTAATTTAAAAACATAAGTACCTATAACTTACCTGTTTTAGACATGGCTATTGTATTTCACAAAAAATGTTTAATAATTAAAAAAATATTAAATCAATCCAAAATACACTAATACAACATACAATGTTACAGCTTCAGAAGCAAAGAGGAAAATAAGCTTTAGTACTTTTTGGCTTGTATAAATACAAAATGATAATCCTTTACGGCATACCGACAAAGGGCGTTATACCTACTTTGATATTAGCGAAATAAAAAACTTTCTTGCGACACGTGCGGTCTAGGATATATTCCGGGTGTCCTATAGGATTCTGGCCAGCTATTGTCTAAAGGATTTAATAGCATCAAATCAACCTTCGCCAAACCACCCCGTAGAAACCATCCCTAGCCGAGCCGCTAGCGTGAGATTAGTGTACATCCGCGTTCTCGCAACAGTTAGGCCGTGATATCTCCAGTCACGTCGTGGATGGTTGTCGGCTGGGACGATTACCATAGGCCATGCCACCATGTGATTTAGTCAACAAGCGTTTAATTATCGACGATGTGAAATTAATAACGGTGAATGAGTAATTGAGAAAGTAGTGGCACGTTTAAATGGTGGTACAATAAACTGCAAGCTGCAGTGACACCACGCTACAAATTGATAAGGGGAATACTACGGAGGGTCCAATGGGTGTAAAATAAAATAAAACCATTCCTAGCAATCATTTTTTAATTTCAAGCTCATGTTTTTTTGTTAATATGATCAAATTTATCACCCTCAGTTCAGTCATATATTATATTGCTTTTTTTAGGCTGTATTTATATGGTCAAAATGGTAAAAAAGGCTGACTTAACAATGGAAATATTTTACTATGTAATACAAATTTAATTTCTTATTTTTGTAGGCGGTAGTTTAAATCAACCGCTTGTCAAACCACGCACCCATTAGAAACAGGTTAAGTGAGTCTGTTATTTACAATTTTGACCAATACATCGTATAATATCGTTGACATGAAGCGAAAAATGTAGTATATTAAAAAAAAAATGTGGTGGTGTGGTTTGAAACATAAATGATAATGGTGGTTTCTAGCGGGTAGTTTTATAAGAGGTTGATTTGGGTTCATCAGGTAAAACAATTTTATCCCTTTTAACAGTTATCCAGAAACATATGGGACAACTGGTATATATACATTATTGTATTTTAGTATAATATTGTTTAAATTTAGTATTCTGTGTGATTCGCGTTGTTCCTTTAGCGGGTTGTTTCATGACATGACATGACAAAAGAAAACTGTTTGTGATGATAAATATTTAAATAGGTATTTTAAAAGTATCAGATTGGTGTGAAGTTGACTATTATTGCCAAATATTCATTTTCTTATATCTTTGATTGGAAGTACAAAAAATTATCGGTCAGTCATTTTTTCCAAACAATTCTATAAATAAAAAAAATTTAAACAAACTAACCAATATTTAAATAATAAACACACATCAAGACGCCACTGGCTCTTCTTAATTTCTTCTGCTTCTACATGTTGTAAGTGACCAGCTCGTCTATACCGGTTAATCTTAGCAAAGAAGAGAAAGATAATGAATAAGTGGAATAATGTATATTTCGTACAGAGTTAGATCATGTTATTTTTAAATATTATTTTCGTGGTATACTAATAATGTTAAAAAGCATCGTATAATCAATACGCCCGGTAGTCACTCCTTTTTAAAAATATATTGAGATATAAAAAATATAGTAATTCTTTTTGGAGTATCTTCAAAATATCCTATTAATATTATCATGTAAAACCTAATGCTTGTCGTAATTAAAAAATACACGTCCTTTACATTGGCCTGACATATAGTGCTAAAGTTAAGCCTCAATCCCCTTCCATTTCTAAATTCCGTTATTTTTAAAACAAAGATGCATTTTAATAAAATAGTTTTGTGCCATTATTTCTATTCCTACGAAAAAAAAAATAAGACATATCGGGATTTATAATATGTATCGGCATCACTGCAATATATCCGTCGTGTCCACAAAATGCGTACATCTGCGAGTAAGTAGCAGAAGCTTGCGTCCAAATTGGGGAAAATAGTTTTGAGAACGTTTTTAGTTTATCGCTGTTATGACGGGTTCGAATATAAGATATGTAACGGTCCCCGATCGCCGAGGTCGTATTAAACTGCCGCCTTAATAATGCAATTTTAAAAGCTACATTGAGTAACCTTACCATTGACTCAGTCATTTATACTGATGGTTCTAAGAACGCGCATGGAACAGGCTTAGCTTTTATTATTCCCAGCATCAATATAGTATATCGTTTTCGTATTCCAGATGTATGCTCAGATTTTACTGCTGAAGCCATTGCCATAGAAAAGGCACTTACTTGGTGTGTACAAAATCTGAGATCGACAGCAAATCGGTCCTAGAGGCAATTATTGCCTCTCCATTTAAAAACTATAAAAATGATTTAATCTTAAAAATAAAAAAATTACTCTTTCAACTGTACTCAACAAATAAAAAAATAACTCTAGTTTGGACCAAAGCGCATGTCGGTGTAACTGGAAACGAAAGAACAGATTATAAAGCTAAGGAAGCTGTAAAAAATGGAAATATCTTAAATTACTCTGTTCCTAGTTTTGACTTATTAGCTTTGTGTAAAAAGGGTCTTCGAAAAAGTTAGGAAGAGCACTACAAAAACGCTAGCCCGAATTTAAAAAATCATTACTTCCATATACATCCAACATTACCCAATGATATTGCCCACATTTCAAACTTCGACTTTACCAGAGATACCACATCAATAATTTCTAGATTGAAATTAAATCATGGTCGGTTCCCAGCCCACCTCTATAAAATCGGTGTAATTAATTCCCCTTATCGTCGATAGTGAAAAGATTGCAGATTTGAATCATTTATTTTTTGATTGTGAAAATAATAAACAGTTTACAAAAACGTTCTTAAAGATCTTATTAAAAACAGTTTCCCTTTGCCATTGAATATTACCTGTCTTCTAGCCTCAAACCAAAAATATATCTTAGATTTAATTCTGAATTTTATTAGGTCTACCGATATAAAAATATAAAATTGAAAAAAAAAAAACTAAAATCTAAAACTAGTATGTGGCAAATAGTTTAAAACTAATGCCAACCCACCCCCCACACAACTAGATAGGAAAGTCACGTGTTGGACACATCAGATTTTTTATGTCTGATAATAGTATTTTAATATTTTTAAGGTAAGAAAGAGTAATACAAAAATTAAACTGTTATTCTTTATTAATAAAGTTTTTACATAGAATCAATTTATATAAAATATTTATTTACTTTATAGTATATTGCATGTAAAGTTAAAATATAAACGTGGTAAAAATATAATTTTCTAAAATATTTAGTAACATATTAATATATAACATGAAAGGCAACAAGTTGATTGCAAAAATGTAAGCACCTACATTATACTATAATTACAAGAATAAATATATTCAAAGATATAAATTTAGTCAAATGCTTCTGAAACCATTGGAAGCTCTCATAAAAATAAATTACGAGGTCTCATATCTTGTGTATCATAAGAAAATGTTATTAACTTTTTAGTGGTAATAATGGCAATAAACACTTAACTTTTTCGAATTTAGTAAAATACTGACAAATATTATTTACAAAAATAAACAAGATTTCTAAAACGTTATTAGAAGAAAAAATTCAGTAGGCCATTTATCAGATTTACCTAGTTTAGTATTTAATAAAAAAACAAAATAATAAATATGAAATTGCTATGACGAATAATAATATTTTGACTTTAACATTTTGTTTTTATTTTATACAGTTAATTTGCCTACCTACCTTTTTATTTTATTTTTAAAACCAAAATCTGTGTCAGCTATGAAATCGCCACAATTGACATAAAAAACATGTGATAGATATTGAAAATTTCTTCTAAAATAAAATATTACTGCATATTAGATCATTTTAGTTTGTTATAAAGATTATAAAAATTAATTGGTTACATGTACAAGAATTAGCCAAATAGATGTAGGGTAAAGTGAGGTACAGTGAAACAAGGGGCACAGTGAAACATTTCAAATTTCGCGGGCGTTTATCATTGAAATTGTAAACAACTGTGTGGTAGCACTGACCTGTGCGAGACCGTCAGTTGATGTATGTAACGAATTCGTTTAGTTGAGGTTGTTTGGTGATTGAGAGTGGACGTTTTAGAACTTTGGGTAAGTATAGTAAATATTTGAACTACTAATATCCCTTCTGTAACGTTAATGTTTTTTATAATTTAAATTTCTTTCTTGGGTATATAACACGAATAAGTATAAGGCATGGATCGCCATATTATTCTTGTTATTAAGTCTGATGTTTGTGTGATAAAAAGGCATGCTGACAAGTTGTTTTGACCTAGGGTACAGTGAAACAAACTTTTTTGGGGCACACCGAAACATGTTTCACTGTACCCCATTAAAATGTTTAATGCTAAAAAATATCTTATTAATTTAATAACATGAATAAAATTGATAAAACAAATGATTTTGTTTTATAGAAGAACATGAGAAACCGTTTAAGAAAAATCAATATCGGACAGTTCTCCGACGAACAAATGGAGAGAGCTGTTAAACTTATTATTGAAGAGAGACTTACCTTAAGAAGGGCAGCAGACGAATGTAATGTCAGTTTTTGTACATTGTATAGGTAAGTAATACATATTAATAAATAATAGGTATTAAATATTACCTTAAATGTTTTTCTTATGCAGGTATGTGAAAAAAACAAAAAGCCGCAAATGAAGAAGGACCTGACACAAAAATTCGATTCACTCCGAATTATAATTGCCGATTGGTATTCACTGCTGATTAAGAACAGCTTCTATCAGAATATTTATTAACCTGTTCCAAAATGTGTTATGGAAAATCAACGCGCGATACACGTGAGTTAGCATATGAAATGGCAGTTATTAATAATATAACTGTACCTCCAAGCTGGCATGCTAAATCGGCTGTTGGTTTAGAATGGCTAAGAGGGTTTTTAAAAAGAAATACAACATTGTCCAAGAGACAGCCTCTTTCTCGCTGCACATCTTTTAATCGGCATACCGTTAATACTTTCTAAGATAATCTTAATGTAGCCTTACAACGTTCCACCAGTTTTGCAGATGGTTCAAGGATATGGAACTTGGACGAAACTGCCACCTCTACAGTAGTAAATAAATCTGTCAAAGTAATTAGGGGGGTATCTACTGTAGCGGCTGGAGAAAAGGGTACACTGGTGACGACTTGTTGTTTTATAAGCGCATCTGGGAATACAATACCTCCTGCTCTCGTTTTTCCTCGTGTAAAATTCAAAGATCATATGTTAATAATCGGCCCACCAGGATCTTTAGGATTGGCAACTAAAAGTGGGTGGATATTTTCCTTCAGGTCATTAGGCATTTTATTAAACATACACTGTCTACAAAGGAAAACCCAACGTTGTTAATAATGGATAATCACAAGTCATTAATCTGGCTAAAGAAAATGGCATAACAATAGTCACACTTCCACCTCACTGCAGTGGAAAACTACAACCATTAGATGTTTCGTATTATGCTCCATTCAAAGCATATTATGCTGCAGCCGTAGATTATTGGCAAAAACAAAATCCAGGAAAGGTTTTCTCAATATATAACATCGCTGGTTGTGTAAATGAAGCACATCAAAAGACCATGATTCCAACAACAATTATCAACGGCTTTAGGAAAACGGAATTTTTTCCGTATAATCGCGATTTATTTACTGAAGCCGACTATATGGCCAGTTTTGTAACTGACAGACCGAATTCTGAGCATTTAAACAATGAGTTGATCAATCCCTCAACACTGCCTGGTCCTTCATCACAATCAAATAAAGAGCCATCACTGAATAATTCCGAAAATATTTTGCAAAGCACTAGTGAAATGGAAACAACTGATAATAAAGCTTTTAGAAGTCCTGCGGAGTTCAAAGGGTATCCGAAAGCTGGCCCTCGAAAGACGACTGGGAACAAGGAAATCTGGAAGAAGCATGATCGCCACGGATACTCCAGAAAAAAATCTGATTGAAGAGGCAGCACGTGAAACAGCTGCAAAAAATTCAAAAATTAGCATTCCTAAAAGAAAAGAAGCAACTAAAAAATTATTTGTCGAAGAGTCTAGTGATGAAGATGATCCACTTGAATGGTCTGCTACTTCATCAAGTGGAGGGTCATTTAACACTGACGATCAACTATTGGGGAAGCACCCCAAAACAGGCACATGGAAAAGCCTTCATAGGCAGACCATGTCCCAAAAGAACTGGAGAACTACTCTTAATGAATATGAACCAGTTGAAAATGATAACAGGGTTCATGACTGGGCATGCCCCAGTAAAGGGACACTTGAACAAAATTGGCATGTACAATGGGGAACTCATGTGCCGACTATGTCACAAGAAACCAGAAACGGCCAAACACATACTATGCGAATGCGAAGCTCTAGATCGCAAAAGACAGGCTCTTTTTGGACAACCCCAGGTTGATCCAACAACGTATAGAACCCACTCACCCAAGGATCTGTACAAACTTGTACAAGGTACAAAGGTGATAGAGTGGGTGTTGGTTGAGTTTACAGATAAGAAAAAAATTTATTACGTTGGCCAGGTCACTAAAGAAAAAAATGACGAAAATGAAGTAGAAATTTTATTTTTAAGAAAAAGTGTTAAAGTAACTCGAGCTTTTTGCTATCCCCAAGTTGAAGACATTGCATACGTTAACATTGATGATGTTAAAATGATATTACCTCCTCCAGAACACAAACAAGGGACCAAAAAAACACATCGTTTCCTAACTTTTGAAATGTCATTCGCAAATCTCGATGTACGTTGATATATAGGTTGATATACCCATATATTTTTCTTCGTAATAATGTTCCATAATAAAGGTTTTTAATTTAAAAACTTATTTCTATTCATTATTAGAATATTTCTGATGTTTCACTGTGCCTGCTGCTTTGTTTCACTGTGCCTCACTTTACCCTACTGTAGACTTGCAAAATATGTTTGATGAAATAATTAACTGACGAATTCACATGAAAAGTCACATTCATTAAATATCTATGACCATCCTCCAGTCAACTTATGGAATAATTCCTCGTTAAGTGTTTGACTAGCATCTTTTGATCTAGTCGACAAAAATATGTAACCTCCAATAAACTCATGTACAACCTTACAGTCGGCTGAAAGGCAACTAAAAACAATATTTTCTTCTTCAAACTGTACCATCATGTGCTTATTTTCCCAATTGACATTCCAGGCTTTCATGGTATTAAATCTCCACGTTTTTTGATGGTCCCCAGTGTTAATGTCCATTTTCATTAAACGGTTATAACCTACACCCAATAACTCTTCTTTTTTGGAATTCATGAATTTGACGACAAATAGAGAAACACCAAATTCGGGAAGAAGTTGCCAAGCTTTGATGTAGTTCATTTTAGCCTCCACAAGACTTAAGTCTTTTACATTGGCGTGGGCTTCTATTATTCTTTGAGTCAGCTACAACAAAAATATAAGTTATAAGGTTTTCAACTATATTTTAAATAATTAGAAAGTTTGACACATTTTATTGGGTTTACATGCACATATTAAAACTAGTTCGTATTTGAATTTTCCTCGAATGCATAAAAATAATATTTTTTATAAATAGGTACCTTTTTTGAGAATAAAATTAAAATGGACGTACGTCACTGACATTTTGAGGTGGGTTGGTTAGAAATTATTTGTTTAATTTAAATAGACCATGCCGAATTTATTACAATGCCAACAGTGTTACCAAACATAGTGAGGCAGTTTACGTCACTACTGCGCTCATCTTATACCTTGCCGCGAAACAAAACGTGCCTGTTTGAAATATGTTCTGTGCATGTTAGCAGGTAAACAATTTTTTGTAGTACAACTATTTGTAGTAGTGTAGAGAGAATCGGCAGTCAAGAGCGGGGAGTACAGTAAGCTGATACTGTAGCAGAGCTCCGTGTCAGCCAATTCACATGCATTGTGTTCTATGGATAATCACTCAACTAAATAATTATTTGAATTAATCATATCATATAATCATATGAATATATAAATGCGAAAGTTTGGATGGATGGATGTTTGTTGCTCAATCACGCAAAAACGGCCGAACAGATTTGGATGAAATTTGGCACAATAATAGATTTTAGTCTGGAATAGCACATAGGCTACTTTTTATACAGAAAAAATGTACGGTTCCCGTGGGATCGATTTGTTTTTGTTTTTCACATAACAAGGGATAGGACATAATTTTTTGCATAGTGGTAGTGTAACATGAAAATTTGAAATACTCCTACTGAGAATAAATAAATAATGACGTGTTTCGGGATTTCTGGTTTTTTAGATTTTAAAGGAGGAAACGGGGGTTAAAAGTTTGTATAGAAGCATCGATTTTTTTATTCGCTCCGTGCGAAGTCATGGAAAGGGAAGCAAAAGCGATACTAGCGCTAGCTGCGGATAATTCGTGCATTTTAGGGGGATATTTTGTAATTTTGGCATATCAAATACACGTATACATTTTACTTTTTTTCAAAAAAGTAGGTAAAAACAACACAATAAGCAACCGGAGTTGCTGTGTTGAAAATTGTACAAATACTAGCAAAAAAAAACAGTGAAACTTATATAACAAATTTCACTAACAAAGTGGAAATTAAATCAAAGAAATAAATGGATAGGTGTACAATAAGAACAAAAATTACCTTTATTTTTGTGATAATAACAGTAATGCTGGAAATAGTAGACATCAGAAACTAGAAAGTTTTTAAATAAACAATAAATTATCATTCTACGATGTTTTTTAATATCCCTTTATTCTTAAATGTTCATTCAGCAAGGACTTGATTTCAAGATTTCTGCCGTTGATTATAATATTTGGCTGGTATGCAATTTTGTGACTTACTGATCGGAAACCAGTTTTAATCATTCATTCTATGTTTTCTTTAGAACAAAAATGAAAATATAAGTAGCGATCCTTTTTATACATTTTAACTTCACGTTATTATAAATGGTTTCTTCAATGACAACTTATTAGACTTAGGCAACTTCTCATACATTTTCCAGTAAATACTGTTGCCTGCCTATATTTTATTATTGATTTTTAATGATTATACATAATTTTCTTCAATTTAAGCGTGAAAAATATATAATAATAATAAATTAATGTTTTAATTGTTTTATAAATCCATATACTTTTATTAAAACTAACATATATACTTTTTATTTACGAATTCTATTAAAAATTGTATTTGTCAGTATAGGCAGAAATACTCCTTTAATACCAAAACAAATTGGCGCTGCTGTCGCGCACGGAGCGAATAGGTAGGAACTTGAAAATTGGAATTATAGCTACTCATCACAAATAAGTAATAGTGTGTTTCAGGTTTTTCGTTTTTTATATTTTAAGGGGAAAGAGGGAAAATGGGGGTAACAGGGTAAATGAGGGAAAGAAGGAGAAATGAGGGAAGGAAGGAAAATGAGGGAAATTGGGGAATATGGAAAATGTTGGCGGAGTGAAAGTTTCTATGGTAGGAACTTGAAAATTGGAATTGTAGGTACTCTTCATAAATAAATAGACATGTTTTAAAGTATTTGGATTTTACATATTAAGAAAGGAAACGGAAGGTGAAAGTTTGAATAAGACTTACGGTTTTATAATTGTAGAAATTTGAAAATTGGAATTGTAGCTACTCATCATGAGTAAATAATGTGACGTATTTCAAGGTTTTTGGATTTCACATTTTAAAGAGGAACGAAAATGGGGAGTATCGTAAAAAAACAAAATAAAAATAACTAAAAATAAATAAATAAAAATAAATATTAAAAAAAAAAACAAATAAAAATAAATCGAAATAAATAAAAATAAATAAAAATAAATAAAAATAAATATAAATAAATCAAATTAAATATAAATAAATCAAATTAAATATAAATAAATCAAATTAAATATAAATAAAAAATCGAATAAATACGAGTAAATAGGAATAAATAGGAATAAATAGGAATAAATAGGAATAAATAGGAATGAATAAATAGGAATAAATAGGAATAAATAGGAATAAATAGGAATAAATAGGAATAAATAGGAATAAATACGAGTAAATACGAATAATCATGCATTTTTTTTATACTAAAACAACTCCACTCGTGCAAAGCCGCGGGCAAAAGCTAGTAAATATATAAATGTGAAAGTTTGGATGGATGGATGTATGGATGTTTGTTGCTCAATCACGCAAGAACGGCCAAACGGATCTGGATGAAATTTGGCACAAATAAAGATTATAGCCTGGAATAGCACATAGGCTACTTTTCATCCCGAAAAAATGTACGGTTCCCGCGGGATCGATTTGTTTTTGTTTTTCACAGAGGAAGTGATCGCAAATAATTTTTTGCATGAAAATTTGAAATACTGCTACTGAGCATAAATAAATAATGACGTGTTTTAGGGTTTTTGGTTTCCACATTTTAAGGGGGGAAAATGGGGGGTTAAAAGTTTGCAAGGCAGCATCGATTTTTTTATAGGTAGGAACTTGAAAATTGGAATTATAGCTACTCATCACAAATAAATAATGGTCTTTTGATTTTCATATTTTAAGAGGGCAAAGAGAGAAAATGGGGGCAAAAGGGAAAATGAGTGAAAGAAGGAAAATGAGTGAAAGAAGGAAAATTGGGGAAATTGGTGAAATGGGGGAAATTGGTGAAATGGGGGAAATGAGAGAAATGTGTGAGGAGTGAAAGTTTGTATGGTAGGAACTTGAAAATTAGAATTGTAGGTACTCTTCATAAATAAATAGGCAAATGTTTTTGAGTTTTCACATTTTAAGGGGGAGAAATGGGGGTTAAAAGTTTGCAAGGAAGCACTGATTTTTTATAGGTAGAAACTTGAAAATTGGAATTAGAGCTACTCATCACAAATAAATAAAATTAATAAAAATTAATAAAAAATATTAAAAACTAATAAAAATTATTAAAAATTAATAAAAATTAATAAAAATTAATAAAAAATTAATAAAAACTAATAAAAATTAATAAAAACTATTTAATAAAAACTATTTAATAAAAATAATTAATAAAAATTAATAAAAATTAATAAAAAATATTAAAAACTAATAAAAATTTATAAAAACCAATAAGAATTAATAAAAATTATTAAAAATTAATAAAAATTAATAAAAATTAATAAAAATTAATAAAAATTAATAAAAATTATTAAAAACTAATAAAAATTAATAAAAATATAAAAAAATATATAAAAATTAATAAAAATTAATAAAAATTAATAAAAATTAATAAAAATTAATAAAAATTAATAAAAATTAATAAAAATATATATCAAAATTAATAAAAATTAATCAAAATTAATAACAATTAATAAAAATTATTAAAAATTAATAAAAATTAATAAAAATTAATAAAAAATTAATAAAAACTAATAAAAATTAATAAAAACTATTTAATAAAAACTATTTAATAAAAATAATTAATAAAAATTAATAAAAATTAATAAAAAATATTAAAAACTAATAAAAATTTATAAAAACCAATAAGAATTAATAAAAATTATTAAAAATTAATAAAAATTAATAAAAATTAATAAAAATTAATAAAAATTAATAAAAATTATTAAAAACTAATAAAAATTAATAAAAATATAAAAAAATATATAAAAATTAATAAAAATTAATAAAAATTAATAAAAATTAATAAAAATTAATAAAAATTAATAAAAATTAATAAAAATTAATAAAAATTAATAAAAATATATATCAAAATTAATAAAAATTAATCAAAATTAATAACAATTAATAAAAATTATTAAAAATTAATAAAAATTAATAAAAATTAATAAAAATTAATAAAAATTAATAAAAATATAAAAAAATATATAAAAATTAATAAAAATTATTAAAAATTAATAAAAATTAATAAAACTAATAAAAATTAATAAAAAATATTAAAAACTAATAAAAATTTATAAAAACCAATAAGAATTAATAAAAATTATTAAAAATTAATAAAAATTATTAAAAACTAATAAAAATTAATAAAAATATAAAAAAATATATAAAAATTAATAAAAATTAATAAAAATTAATAAAAATTAATAAAAATTAATAAAAATTAATAAAAATATATATCAAAATTAATAAAAATTAATAAAAATTAATAAAAATTAATCAAAATTAATAACAATTAATAAAAATTATTAAAAATTAATAAAAATTAATAAAAATTAATAAAAATTAATAAAAATATAAAAAAATATATAAAAATTAATAAAAATTATTAAAAATTAATAAAACTAATAAAAATTAATAAAAAATATTAAAAACTAATAAAAATTTATAAAAACCAATAAGAATTAATAAAAATTTATAAAAACCAATAAGAATTAATAAAAATTATAATAAAAATTATAATAAAAATTATAATAAAAATTATAATAAAAATTATAATAAAAATTATAATAAAAATTAATAAAAATTAGT